CCTGCAAAAGGCATCACACAGATGCTTTTTTCATCCTACTCTATGGGGCTGGCGCTAGGAGAAGCTGACCAGAGGCTGATTAAGGCCCTTTAACTTTGTCATGCTAAGGGTTGGTTTTGCAAGTTGAAAAGGAACTGTGACTTGTTTTTTAAGACTTTAGGGAATTGCTGGCCCTCATTGGTTTCACTGCACCAGATGCAGTGTGACCGGGAATCTACGCTGCATATGAAAAGGTCACTTACCCTGTTCAAGAGAGGAGATTCTAACACTTGTCAGCTTGAGTGATGGAGACTCTGCATTGAGAGCCATAATATTCATGTCAGAGAATTGCCAAGCCCATGCGGAAGCGTTGAAGATGGATGGCCTGGGGATATACTCCTGACACTTTAATACGGGGGGAGGATACAGCACAAACATCTCACGCAGAATTATAATCCATGAAAGGGCACGGGTGGCGTAAATTAAAGGTAATCCACTAGGCAAGGCGTTTAACAGCTGAAGCGAAGCAGCCTGGGGTAAAGGAGGGCTGATGGTGGGACAGAGAGGGAGCTGCTGTGGAGCATCAGGGGAGAGAGCAGCAGGGGCATTTCCACCCACTGGGAGGAGAAACAAGAGGAAAAGCTGGTGGCAATGGGGGAAACGGTGACAGTGATGATCCTGGGTTAGATGGGAAGGACCGGGGAAGCTTGCAGGCTTAGCCTGAGCTGTCATCATAGTGCAAATACCCCAACACTGATCTTCTGAAATCCTCTTAGCTGAGCAGGCACCTCTGACAAGCCTGCCCTGGTCTATGGTAACACAATAGCTGGTCTGTAGCATTTCTTCAGTTAGAACATGTTTCCCTTTCTCATTAAAAATGGAGCATAAACCAGTCCTTTCCCACAATGAAGGCACAAATGGGATAGTGGTGGTAAACCTCTGCAGAGCCAGTGGTGATTTCAGGCCAATCTGACTGCTGTCCCGCAGGTTTCCTATCCAGTAGGTTACTCTGGCCGTGGCAGTGGCTGTGGCCCTGCAAACAGCGGCTCTGGCAAAGCCTGTTTGAAGTGGAGGTGCTGCTCCAAGGCCGTCCAAGCAGCTCCACAGCCCTACCCAAAGTGCCCCTTTGGGGTGCCTGGTGGGGTGCCCCTGCTCCAGGTCATCCCCAGCACCTCTTCCAGTGCCGCAGCGCTGCAAGGAGCCTTCAGGGAGAAGCAATGCCAGCAGCTCGCCTGGGCAGGCAGCAGGATTTTGGTTAGAGCTCATAAAGCACCTGGCTCAGATTAAGATTTTTACGTTTTCTTTGTAATTAGGATCATTACTATGCCTGCGGGACAAGAGTCAGGTTCCTCCAAGGTGCTCTGTAAGGGCAGTCCATCCCTTCCTCTGAGCATGCAATGAGTTACGGGTGGTTGGCATCAGAGTCCCAAACTGGATTTGACTTTGAGTGATCCTGAGTAAATACATTCAGTTCTGAAGACACATCAGTGCCTTCAAATGCTCTGGGGCTGTGGTTGGAGAGCGAACTCTCCCAAATCAGCAAGTGATAGGACTGCTCTGCTGTGCGTGGTGTTACTTCTTTAGAAGACTGCGCCATAGGAGCTTGGTGCCCAGGTAAAATCCTTACTGAAATGATGAAGCCAGCCTGATGGGCTGTGTCCTGCAGGCAGCCTCAGGCTCTATTGCCCTGTGCCACCCCGTGCACGTGGCATTTCTCTGTGTGTTGTTACAGAAGCTGGGTACCGGCGGGCAGGGGTGCAGGGGCTCCCTGACAGTGCTGTGATGGATTAAGATGATCCTGAATTTCTATTGTCTTGCAGTGAATGTAGTGAGAATTGATGACTGTTGTATCCAAGCAACAAGGGGAAGGATGAGAGAGCTTCAGCTTCTTCAGAACTGTAATATCTCTGGCAAGGTGCAGCTCTAAGCCATAGAGTTGGTTTTTGGATTTGTTCAGGCTTGGTATTGTCTCTGTGAGCTATAAAAAGAGGATGGAAATCTATATCATGGGATGGTACATAACTTTCGCTTGAATTTGCTTTAATTTGCATTTGGTCTCTGGTTTTTGCATAAGACGTGCTCGTTGCCTTAGATAGTCTGGATGCCAGAAATGTAAATGAATTAAAACAAGTAATTAGACAAATTCAGGGAAGAACAGTTCATCTGCAGCATTTAAATGCAACACGGTGGGTACAAGTGCTGGCTCAGCAAGCCCCTGGCTGCGGGTTGGTGGGAGTGGAGGGCTCAGAGGAAGCAGGACTGGTGTTGGCTGGGCTGTCTCTGCTCCTCTCTGCAGCCCTGTTTCCCAGGATGGAGCCTGCATGGAACAGGGGTCTGGTCTGGTGCTGTGGGCACCTGCAAACCTGTCATTTCTGACTTTCTGCAGTAATGTTACTTTGAAAAGAGGCTGCATAGAGACTCAAAGGATGATACGAAGCATGTCCTGAACATGCCTGCTCATGGAGGGGAGTCCTCACCTCCTGGGATTCACCTCTGCAGGTTATTAACTCTGCTATTTGTATGCAGCGAGATGGTTTGTTAGGTCTGCTTGTGAGTTATCCTGGTGAAATACTGTTTCCCACCTCTGAGTGCACATCAGCAGTGACTGTCCTGTGCTCTGAGTAACCTCAGTTTGTGGCTCTGGGATTTTGGCAGCTCCTGGGGCTGCCCAGGAATGGGGCTGGGGCTGCTCAGTGCTGATCCAGGACAGCTGCAGTCCAGGCAACCACAGCGGGTATTGCAGCAGTAGAGCCTGTTTGGTTGTTTGTTTGGGGTTTTTTTGTGTGTGTGTGCAGACAAGCCAGCTGGTGCACAAGATGCAGGAAAGGGGGTCGGTTTGTCTGTTTTTTATTGTTTCCCATTCAGCCTAAGTTTTGGTGGGTTCCAAATGCTTTTGTGGCAACACTGTGCAAAAAAATCTTGTAGGGTTTTTTTGGTTTATTTGGTGATGTAGCCTATTAGTTATGGACATTTTGGAAATGGCTACTCCGAAGGCAGGAAAAAAGCCCTTCCAAACTGACAGCCCGTTGGTGTAGCCCTTCCAGCGTTGATGAAACCACTTTTGGCAAAAAATAAACACCTGGAAGTCAGTTGTTCTTCCCAGCTTGTGCATTTTATACCTTGAGCTTTCTGATTTGGCTCAAGTATGTGTCGAGGCTGGGTTGGCACTAGGAGCCATCGGGATACCCGGATAAAATAGCACCAGAGCATTTGTCGTGTGGGTGCGATGTGCTGGCAGAGCTGTAAGTTTGTTGGGTTTTGTGTGTAAAAAATAAACACCTGGAAGTCAGTTGTTCTTCCCAGCTTGTGCATTTTATACCTTGAGCTTTCTGATTTGGCTCAAGTATGTGTCGAGGCTGGGTTGGCACTAGGAGCCATCGGGATACCCGGATAAAATAGCACCAGAGCATTTGTCGTGTGGGCGCGATGTGCTGGCAGAGCTGTAAGTTTGTTGGGTTTTGTGTGTTTTTTCTTGTTGTTTTTTTTTTTTTGGTGGGTTCTGTTTTTTACTTGTCTCTCCTCCTCCTCTGGCTAGAAAGCAAACCTAGCAGAGCATCCTTTGCCCCTGCATTGTAGGTGTGGGTGGGGGCAGAGCCCTGGCTCTCTCCAGCTGCAACTCCTGGGAGTAATCCAGGCTGAAGTACAGCCCTGGGGAGGGCAGGAGAAGAGCGAGACTCTCTTGGGACGTGTGTCCCCTCCTGCCCTTCCCGCTGTGGCTGTTTGCACCCGGAGCAGCAGGGAACCAGCAGACGCATTCGCAACTGTCCCCAAGTTTTCTCTCCTGCTCCCAGTTCAAAGGGCTCCTCTCGTGCCTCCAAGAATTTTGCAGTGAGTGTCGATGCTTTCCACATCAAAGCCAGGGCAGCCTCGCATTGTCTGGGAGGTGTCGGGTCTGGGCGTATTAGAGAGGCGTTGGGAGCTTCAAAATCACCTTTAGCCAGGCAGCGCCTGCATGCTCAGCACTTGAAAAAGGTTAGATATTACGGAGATAGGTATTAGGGCAAACCCTCCAGGGACTGAAGGCTGCAGCCACCTTTTATAGAGCTCTAGGAGAACAACCTTCTCGCTGGCTTCAGTGGCTTTTGGATTAATGATGAGAAATCTTGGAAGTGCTGGGTTTTACACAGAAAGGGAGAGTTTTGCACCTAGAGTCACACTGCTAGGAAGCCAGAAAGAAAAAAGCCAATGGTTTTTGTTGTGCTGTTTATTGCAAAATACAGTCCAAAATCTAAGTCTTTAAGGAGACCTCCCAAATAGATAGAGAAAACAGATTGTGCTAAGCAATAATACAACTTATTTATAAACGAAGTTAGGCATAAAGAATTCTGAATTCTTATCTGCTCATTAAAAAAAAAAGCATAGGAATTGTAAACTGCTTAATTTCATCCAGTACATATATATGATGCTACCATCTATTGGGGGCAGGAGTTCTGGTACCAAAATACAAAATTTAAAAAAGGGGGGAGTGGGGGGAAGGGGGAAAAGAAATCTGTAAACACTGGCTGTAAACTTATCAAAGCCCACCAAAGGCAGTGGTCATAATATACACCATGACACCACAAAACCTCCTCTCGCATCAGAAAGTGCATAAGTTTTCCACCTGAAATGCTGCCGAGCAGCCACTGTGCACGAGCCCCCCAGCAGGACTCGCTTTTGGCCACAGTGCCCGTCTGCACCGCGCTCGCCTGGGGCCGGAGCCCCACCGCTGCCCTTGGCAGACCCGCTGGCAGTGGCATAAGGGGTCGAGCCCACCTAAAAAGTGAAATTCTTCCCTCTGTCCGATACGCAGGTAAAGTGACTCCCAACCAGAAAGAAGCTACTGGTAAATACTGAGGAAAAACACATGGAAGCAAGAAGGACCGTGGTCCCTCGGCGCCCGCGCCTGGTGCTCCCGAATCACTCAGCGTCCATCCGCAGGAGACCCCATCTCGCCCCGCTCGGAGCCTCTGCGCCCCGATGATGCTCCTTCCCACCCCAGCTCCGCCAGCGGCCGCCGAGCGAGGGGACACCGAGAAGTCCTCTTATCTCTTGTGCCCCCTGTTCCGCCGCTTGATGTGGTTGGGGGGAGCGGCGGGTGCATCGCGGCGGGCGCAGAAGTGCTTGGCCACCA